ATATTATAGTCTAACGCATCACTCAGTAAATAAATCAAGATGTCCAAACTGTAGCACACTTCTACCTTGGAGAGAGCTAAAGTAAACACATTAGAATTGGCGAAATAAGCTTTTATTATGTTTTGTTTGAAATTAAACCTGTCCTACATAAATGTAACATGGTTGAGAAGCACTCTCTGTAAGGAGCATAAGCAAAAGCTTTTTTTTTTTAAACCCACAGATACTAATATGACTTACTAAAAGATGAAAACAGGCAACATTTATCATTTTAGAAGCTAGGTCTAGCACGTTGTTGGCATTTAGCCGGATTTTTTGAGTAACAACAAGTTGAAGTGCTAACTATGACAAACAGGAAACGCAGCTAGTTTCAGGCGAAGTCAGGCGGAGTGTTATCAAAGGCCATCATCTCCTCAGTTGATATAGAGTTAGACAGAAGGCCACAACTGGAATACCCTGACATACATCAAATCAACAAACTGATACCATGTGGTCTACTCACTGAGGTGTATGCCCGGCCACACATGCTACAGCAGTAGGCCTTAGCGTTTTTGATGGCGTGCGCTGACAAATGGATCTGCAACGATGCTGAGTCTGAGTAGGCACGGTAGCAGTTAGGACATTTATACGGCTTGTCTTTATTGTGCTGCCTCTGGTGAGACTGTTGGGGAGGAAACAGAGAAAATCTGTTAATTATAACATCTTTCTACTTGTTGTATTATCAACTGTGTGACCATGTACTGACCTGGAGGTTAGACAGCTGGGTAAAAGCCTTTTCACATCCGGGGTGAGCACATTTATAAGGCCTATCGCCAGTGTGGATTCTGTGGCAGAAGAAGACATTTTAGATTTGTAATGACTTTCACAACAGACTCTATAAATCCCAAGGCACGACTCAAAGATCTCCCATCATGCTATTTTTAGGCATATGTTATGTTTCTCAGATATATACAAATATATTAAAAACATGTCTATGATGTGTTTTGCTCAAAATACCAAACTGTTTACTACAAGGTGAGTTCCTTTTTTTATTTCCTGCTTTTTTACACATACTCTCTTCTGTACAGGTGAGCTCTGAGTGTTAGCGATGGTTGCTAATGTAAACAAACACCATATTACTTCCAAAACACGTAGCGCATTGTTTCTGATAGCGACGTTTCTTAGAGATTTGGGTACGGAGGAAAAGAGAGAGGGTTTTATTTTCTGGAGCTTTGTGAGTTACCTGACACACCGGGGACACATATTTATGTATAAAAGACATACAAAAGTGCTTTTTGCATGATAGGAGACCTTTAAAACATCTCATACTCCGTAAGAGAAAACCAGAGCCACAGAAATAAAAAGAAGTGTGAAAACACAAGAAAATACCCACTTCAAAATGCTGTTGTAGAATAGTATCTGAGTGTAGCATAGTAAGTTAGCGGTAGCTGCTAAACGGCTATTACTTTCCCTCACACTAGCTTGACCTCTGCTGCTTTGTGTTCACAGAAGCACCGACCTGGTGTGCTGCTGCAGGTGTGACAGCTGACGGAAGGAGTTCTCGCAGTAGGAGCAGTGGTACGGTTTGATGCCCAGGTGGATGCGCAGGTGCTGGGACAGGTAAGAGGCGTTGGCGAACGTCTTGGAGCAGTGGGGACACTTGTGAGGTTTAGCCTCCGTGTGGGTCTTGGAGTGAATCTGCATATCCGACTTGGTGAGGAAGGTGAGCGGGCATATTTTGCATCTTGGGGATGAAACAAGGACACATGAAACGTGATCAGATCAGGTTAATTTAGTCAACATCGTATAGAAATAGAGGTTCAAAGAGTAAGAACATTAATGTTTTGATGTATTAAACCACTGCTGTTTCAACACCAAGACCACTTTAGTCCTTTTCTAGACATTAAAAGCAAAATATGACCAATTCTGAATCATCATTGAAATCCAAACTAGCACTTTGTCCCTATCATAGTAAGCAAGTATAGCATATTCAAGATCAGTTTACAGCCCACTGAGGGAAACATTCATCCAATCAGGTTAAAGATAGTTTTGTTATGATGTCTCAGAGGAGCACATCCCAATCACCTACATTTGACTTAGGACCAAACTTGTCTCAAGCAAATGTCTATTGATCTTTTGTCGACCACAATTCAATTTGGCAATTTGCTTTAAAAGGCCAGTGCTGAAAGAAAATATCCTCCTCCCTGTAATGCAGTAAAACCGTAAAGACAACAGCAGCAACTTCCTGTGCCCTACCTGTAGATTTTTCCCTCTTTGGGCGCTATGGTGAAACAGCCTTGGTCGGCGAGGATGGGGTAGGGCACCACCAGCAGGGGACCAGTCGCATTTTCAGCTTTGATCTTCTTCCGTCCCCGGGGTGTTTTGGGTGGGGGGCCCAACAGACAAGCCAGGCCGCCTATCTTCATGTGCTCCATGCCAGGACCGCTAGCCAGCCCTGAGATGATGTTGATCGACGGGGAGCCACCCAGGCGGTTCTGGTTGCTGGAGGTAGGGGTCGTGGGGGTCAGAGCCTCGGAGATGTTGTGGCTGTCTTGTCTGGATAATGGAGCCAGGCCTGTGGAAATGGAAACCACAACTGTTTTAACACCTAGCAACACACTACATTTGGCTGTTCAGATAAACATTTTAGATCACACCTACATTTTTAACGACATTTGAAAGCAAGCAACAATTTGAATTTTTTAATGTGCAGCTAAGAGCTATTGGTTTCCATTTGTTTCCACAGTGATGCACGAAGCATTTGACAGCTTTAGTTACTTTAAAGATTAATAATAGAAAAGATAAACTAAATTAATTGATTGTATTTTTATAGGCTATGATAAACTTGATTGAACCCTGCTGAAATTCACCAGCTATACCGCAATAAATATATTAAATAACAACATTCTTATTTTCTTATTTGTAGAATACATTAATGCATCAGTAGTTATACTTCATTCAAGAATGCATGATGGTTTGTAATAAATGTGCTACAACTTGCAAAACCACTGGTATGGCGGTTTAACATGATAACAATATTATCCATCCACCTGCCATTCATTCCAAATGAGATATGTTCTAGTTAAATTGTTTTAATTCTCATAAACTCACTGATGGTTATACTGTTTAATGGTATGTTTTCCTGAAATGTATGGGTATATATTTTTTGTATTTAATTGTATTTTTTAGTATTGCCAATGCTCAGCCTGCTGGAGATACAAACTATGTGTTTATCTTCCCACTTCAAACCTCAGGAACCATTTAATAAATAGTCTTATTTGAGAGTTTGCACACCTTTATTCTAACAAACTAAAGACACAATCAAAAATATCTCACCATTTATGTATGCTGACTATCTAATGCACTCTTAATGTTAGTTCAGTAAACGTACTTTACGTCTTATTTATGGTAAGTCTATTGTAATTTACCAGCAACATGTGAGTATCCTTTCACAGAATGACAGAACACGCTGCTGTTTGATTCTTCGACAGCAGATACTGATGTTACTTCCTATTGTCAACAGACCACAGAGACCACCTGACTGCAGTACCTGAGCGATGGTTGAGCCGGAGCTGTTGCTCGGTGAGCTGCCTCATGTGCCAGTCCTCCCACAATCCTTTGGCCTTCACCCCTGACTTGTCGTCCATATTGCCATCTGGAAGATGTCAGGTGAAGGCATTTTAATCGGTCCAAAGTCAATTGTTTCTTGATATAGACAGACATGATCAACACACTGTATAAAGGTCTGCAGATACAACACAATGGGAAGTGAACAATAATTGTCTAATAGAGATTGTCAACAACGCAAAATCTGAGGTCCTTATGCTAAATTATTTCATAAATAATAATAAACCACAGGCCGTATGGTTTGACATTTTTTAATACCTGGGCCAATATAGTCACATAACAGCAATTATTCCAAAATGATGTACGATATAATGCTGTCTTGATACAACCAGCATTACATGGACTTTTCCATACGTGACCCAAACATATAATTTTTTTCAAAACAAAAATGTATGATCAAGAATAACATAAAGAAGACAGAAAATCTGACCATGACAACTTTCACGCTTGCCAGTTTATGTTACTTATTCTAACAGCCCGTCCACACAGCAGCTTTAGACGATTCTTCCAACGCTTCCAACGCTTCTCTGCCCATTGACTTTGAATGGGGATGACGTCACTTTTCCTCGCTTGTCGCCGAACTGCATTGTGGGGGAGCGAAGCGAAGATTTCCAGGATTTCCAGGATGTTCAGGATTCAAAAGTTGAGCAATGTTCAACTTTTAAAGCTGAGCTGGAAGCGTCAGCCAATCAAACCCGTTTATGCAAATCTGACAGTAGAAGCTCTAGCCAATCAAACCGCGTGTAAGCAGGGAGAGCCAGACCGCAGTTCATTTCCTCATATTCCAAACGAGAAATTACGGTAGCAAATCACCCGGTTCTTTACGACCAGACTATTTACCGGGATACAAACCGGAGGAACCAGGCATGGAGGGAGGTGCCAGAGACAGTGGGTGAAACTGGTAGGTTTTCGCCTGTTTGAGGAGTTTATATATATTGCTCGCATAAAATCCCCGTTTTTTTTTGCTTTGTATGTCGGGGGCGGGAGATTCATGTGATTGGTTGTTGGTCGTGTTGCTCGCAAAAAATCCCCAAGCTGTCAGACACGCCCAGCTCCAAGATTTTCAAGATTTGTTCAAAGCTGCTGTGTGGACGGGCCGTGACACAATTGGAAAGTAACCGTCCTAATAACAGCAGAGTAAAGACTGTACCTTGTCCGGAGCTGGAGGTAGGGCGAGCATGCAGAGCGATGTCCGGCTGTCCGGAGCCCTGCTGCTGCGAGTGGTGGCCCGGCACCTGCTGGGGCTTCTGCAGTGACATGATGTGCTGAGCGCTGCCATCCATGGACGAGCTTTGCAGCAGCAGAGACTGCTGGGAAGGGCTGGAGGTAGGAGGCAGGTGCAAGGGTCTGATCTTCTCGGCCATCAGTTGCTCCTTGATCTTGTTAATGAGCACCATGTTATCCAGCTGAAAGGGTTAAAGGGTCATGCTCAATAGAACAACCACCGTGTGTGAAAGTCATTCATAGCCCGAAAAACACATCCGGGGGTTAGGAAACACTGACCAGTAGCCCATAGTACATGCTCAATTATTGTTTTTATATCTACAAGTTAAACAAACGATGACAGATCCTTACTTTAAGAATGTGTTTCACTGAAAGGCTGATAAAACATTCACACATGGAAACAGTTTGCAGTTGAAGGTTGAAATGTTGTAGTTTTTACAAATGTGAATGGACTTACCTGGCCAGGCATGGATGGAGGTGGCGGCCAGAAATACGGGTTGTTAAATCGAGGCTCCGCCATCCTGAAATTAATCAAATGTATTTTAGTCATAGGGGTGGGGTGGGTAACACACAGCTGTAATTGTTATGTAAGCTATGGGTTTTGTGAACTTTTAGAACTTAAATAAATCAAATAATTTGGTAAAAAATACATTGAATAAAGACTTTATAAGTGAAAACATAAGACAATTTTACATATTTTATAAAACAAATTATAGTTTGAAAATAAATCTACAAATAAATGTCTTAATTCAATGTTCACTAATTAGATGTTTCTTTATTTTACTGACATGACATCTCATAGTCTCCCTCAACAGTTAAGAAGATCAAACTTTATTCCCAGAGGAGGACCTTGAGACTTTGAAAAGTGCTCAATGTAATAAATCCACCTTAAGTGTACACTTCTTTGACAAACATGTCATTTCATAGATTATAACAGATGTTAAGGAACTGTTTTGACATTAAAGATAGTGCATTTATTAAAAAGAAAATCCTAATATAGCCATGTTCATTTATAAACTTATTATAACAGTGTGGGAAGTTACTATGATACATTTGTGTAAATAACTCGGTGTGTAAATTAGGCCTACAGTGCGAGACTTTCACCTTTAAGTTTACACAGGTCAAACATCAAAATGCCACCTAGAAATATGAAGTCACTTAAAGAGACAGCGGTGTGTGTGAAACATCCTAGCCGATTAGCTTGGACATTTTGCCCTTCTATTCCTTTTGTCAGAGAGGGGAATCCTAAAAATAAGTGAACGTCGCTTTAAATGTGCAGATAAACGCAATGTTTTAAAGAAACAACTTAGCATTCTTTGACTTTTGGGACATGGCTGCAGCCTGAAAGCATCTCGGCCCTCGGACAGAACTAGGGTTTTTTGCCGTTCGACCCTCCCGGTGCGATTTAGACATTCTCAGACAGTTTTCTTTAAACATTTCCAGACAAAAGAGAAACAAAAATGGCAGCCTTATTTTTATAAGGCGGGACGCCATATTCTGCAGACCCCAAAAATTTAGGATCGTGAACATCTGATCGCGAGGAGTTTGTTGGGGGGAATAAGCGAGGCGAGGCGGACACAAAGGTGTGTTTATCATGTCAAAGGCATGAATGATTGTTTACGGCGAATTGCAGGTTTGAATAGCCCGGCCTCCCCACCTCCTAAAAAAAACCTGACACTTCCTACAACAACCATGCCCTGCAAAAACAGCACGGAAACGGGCAAGATGCAGCTCGACCCAAACAGCACATCGATTAAAAACAACCGTAGCACCGCGTTAAGGTCAAAATGTAACCGGCGCACAATGCCCTTCCTCCCGAAAGACGCTGTGCCATCCTAACCAAATTTCACTTTTAGGGCTGCTTTTTTCACATTCTGCAACTTTTGGACGAATCAAAGGACAGCAATTGCGATGTGTGCAAAATGCACGCATTTAGGAGGCTATCGGTTATGAGATAAATGCACAGCAGCGAATACACGAAAAACACATGCACAATTACCTTGTGTCCAGATTGCAGATATTGTCTTGCGAGTACAGCTATAATATAAAAGCTTCTTTCTGCCTGCCTCCAGTCGGACCACCGCTTCCGGGTCGCTTTGTTCACTTCTGGGTGCTGCTGCTGCGAGCTCCGTACAGTACACACACAGAAGGGAATATTGTGCTAATGTTGCTGTGGATTTTAACACGGTGACCTACTTTGTTCACGTTTAACGGACAGCGTGCATGCATGATTTTAATAACGTTATTTCAGCGCGTGTTTGGGTCGGATTTAGCAGATCACATCCGCAGGGCTGGAAGTAGCACAGCCTAAAATAGCAACGCTACAATGTACATACTCCATTCCAAAGAAAAGTACTGTATCCAAAACGTCACTGAAGTCAAGCTACGTTACCGACTATTGATTGTAGCAAGATAAAAAAGACACATTTATAAAATAACGGCCCATTTCAGAGCGTTACATGCATCACATCAAAAATGCATCACATATACTGTAAACCCATCTTCATCATTATGTGTATGTGACATTTTACTATATTATTATAGACCTGCTATAAATAAAACTCCCAGTCAGATAAATACAGGGAAGACACGAATGTAATGTTTCTCAAATGTATGTAAGTGAAAAAAAGTAGAAGTATTTAAAACTGAAATGCACCTGTATCCCAATCTGAGTCAAAGCCATGACTCCATAGAAAAAGTTGATTTGATATTTCACTTGATATTACCAGACGTATCATTAATAAAATGTTACAACAATGAATTACATACAAAACAAATAAACAATACTTTAAATACAAACTATTGACCAAAACAGGATTGAAACAGAGTTGTTTTAATGTGTTTAGTACAATTTAGTCATATAACAGTGTTATAATTAGGTGTAATGTAGCTTGGACATTTGTTACGTCTAAACCTCCATATAACAAAAGTCACGCTTCTATGAGGATGGTTTCATATGATTCATTTGTATGTTAATACATCTCAATCCAAGTGTACTACTACATTTTTTCCCCAGATGTTGACATAGTTCCAGTGCAATTTCAGTGTTCCATGACATGAATAGGATTTTCTTTTGAAGATATTATTTAAGGTTGAATTAAACTAGATTTTTGTCAACTATTTTAGGCATCAGTTAAAAAAGAGGCTGCAATAATATATTTGTGCAAGTTTCCATAGTCATTCATTTAGCCTGCTGTTACACGTTATTGCTTGCATACATTATATTTTACAAGCTTTAAGACACATATATATATAATAAGACAAAGACTATGATTTTATTTCTGTTAACTTGCACCCATACACAGCTGTTTTTGAAGCATAGTCCTAAAAATATCCACACGTTGTATTGTGTGTTTAAAGGCTTTACAGTCAATTGAACTTTCATGTTTGATTTGATATACTTTAAATTGATTCCCTCTGATCAGGGATTGAGTTTACAGCACTTTATTGATCTGAAATCTGTCTACATTTGATTTAAAGTTGAACTTAAATGTTCTTTCTTGTTTATGAACAGAAGGAAAATCGAGCTTCACTACTGTGCCCAATATATGCTCCGTGCCTACGCTTTATCTTACACAGAAATGATTCTCATGTTTGTCACTAGTTCCTGAAATAATAAGAGGTGCAGTGAATCATAGGAAACGATCAGGAGCCCATTGACGTTGCCACTGATAGTTGTGTCAGTCTGAGTGTGTGTGGGGAGTTAACATGATCTCATATTGTTTCCTGTTTCTCGCAACACTTCTCTGAAAATACCAGAGAACTGACATCTCTGACCCACATGCACACACACACACACACATCCACACACATACTGCATACACAGGCTTCCTTTAGAACTTTATCTGACTCAACTTACGAGTCAATCTAAAGATGGCTTGAAGTGAGAAAGCCTCATCCTCCAGAATTTAGCAGTGTCCTCACATGGTGATGACAATTTTTTTTTTTTTAATGACTGAAACTAACATTGCTCTAAAGTTGGTTGCTTAACTTCCTGACGTTCTGCTCTACCAACATGAACTTTGTTTTGGTAAGTAATCCAAATCATAAGTTTTATTTTTTATAATTTTCCTGATAATTTAGCTGCTATATGTGGATTATAGATCATCATTTATACAGTTACAGTAATGCAAGTACCATTAAAAATGACCAACCTCACACATTATGTCTATTCTGCTTATTGAAGGTTGGTTAAAGTGAGGGAAATTGTTATATGTGTTGTCATTTGTATACTGCAGTGACTGAATCATGGTAGAGCATAGGTGACTGTAGGTGATGTTGCTCTGAGAGAAATATACAGTATTCTCTTGTGTGGTTTAAGTGTTAAGTTAGCGTTCAGACTTCACATGTTGCTTCTTACCCTTTGATTCAAAACACCATGGCTGTACTGTTGATGGGAAGTCTCATGTGGATGGTTTTCTGAACGATATGGCTCTGTAGATATTCCGCTTACTGTCATCAAATAACAATAACTACTTTATGCGACTGAATCCACTGAATCTTTTGCATTTGCATTTAAATAATAAGATTTGATGTTGTCTGTGAACACCAGTAGGAAGCTTAGCTGCTGCACTATGAAATAGTTGCAGTGATAAAGTGACTGCGATAATGTTCTGTTTACTATCCCTTGGTAGTGTGTTTTTAAATATAAATATATATGTTAAATATTTGAATATACACAAGAAGACCTGAATGATGTATACAAAGGTTCATGAGAATAACATAAAAGATGCCCGAGCAATAACATGATGAATTTTATTGTGTCATGTTTCTACTACAGCTGTAATTATTTATGGCAGTTTGTAGTAGCGTGAAAGTCAGTTACCTTTGTGAGAATCTTCTTTCCACGCAGACCTGTAAACCTTTTTTTTTTGTAGGTGTTCCCACTGATACTCATCTTCCTATTCATCGGACAGAGTTACACTGAGGTTAAAACCCAAAATTCAGATTCATGTTTTAAACTATGCCCAGCCGGTAAGTTGTGAAAAGCGAGCTGTAGGACCTTGGCCTTGTCTTTTACAGTTATAGAGGAATAATCGCATATGAACTCTTCCCCTTTCTTTTTTCCCTTTTGTTTCCCAGGATATCATAAAGTTGGTCCATGCGAAGGGAAAGCTGAAGGGTACAGATGTGAAAAGTGTGGTGATGGCACATACACAGCAATAGAAAACTCCGTAGGCGAATGTAGGCTTTGTGAGAGTTGTGGATGTAAGTACCTTATTCAAACCCAATTATAGACCCATAGAAACACATGCTGTCCACCTGTGGGATATATATATTTGTGTCAGCTTTTGACGAAGATAATTAATTTGATTGACATTTTCTGGTTATTTAAATGAATGCTTTTTGTTGCAGTCCACATTTTTCCTTCTAACTATGAGATTAATTATAATTTCTGCTACATCATTCTGATGAAAATGACTTTGAAACTGGAAAATATGATAACATTAGCATGTAATATCTATTGTGGTTGAGTAGTAGAGGAAAGGTATTCAACATAGCTGGTTGAGGCTAAATCTAGGATTAGAGACTTTGTGAATTCATACGCTGAGTGACATTTCTATTTTAGTAGTCATAGTATTAGATCATAAGAGTTTGTCTTATTGTCTGTTCCAACCACACAGACTGAACCTGGAAAGAAATATGCTTTTCTTCTCTTACTTAGGATAGCCTGAAAAACACCTCGAAACTGATTATATTGTTCCCTTTGCTTGATTTTAAATCTCTTATAAGTACAAATCGATAGGTACTTGTCATTTTGCATATCTATTTTAACATGTCAACTTGTTATTGCATTTCTTCTGAGTTTTCTATGGTTGATGTCCAGGCTAGGTCTTCCTTGAAAAATAATCGTCAATCTCAACAGGTCTCACCTTGTTAAATATGGGTTGAATAAAAAAAAACGAAATTTATTTTAATTCCAGGTTAAATAACATCTTGTCTTTAAAGTTATTCTTTATTACAAAAGTTGAATTATATCGAAGAAATAAACTGAATGTTAAAAACAATAATCTAAATAATCCCCAAATCTTGTTTTCTGGTTTATATTGTCCTTTGAAAAACCCTGAATCCATTTTGTCATGAATGTGTTAATGCTGTGGATTGAGACACACTGGTTTTTGATTTTTCCCCAGATCATCAGTTTGAAGCTAATCCATGCACCTTTACTAGTGATAGGCTGTGCAAGGATTGCAATTGTAAACGATGCAAAGGTAAGTGAAACTGAAGGGAATTGAAGCCCCAAACTAGCATTCACATCTGCCCTTTTGATCCATATCCTGGCGTATTCAATATAAAACCAACACTCTCCTAGGAAAATGTATAGTATGTTTGACTCTCACAATCTTGTGTTTTTCAGGACCCAACAACAACAGGGAGTGCAAGTCCTGCCAAAGGTGGGATATCTTGCAATGTGACAGTTGTGGGAAAAGACATGTTTAGATTTGATCTTTTGTGACATTTTCATAGCTCATAGAACTGCAATATCAAGTGAGGGCAGAAATCAGAAAAACAATCAGTGTACTGTAGTGATGGCTCCTTTACGCACATTGACATTTTCTGCCATTCAATACATTGTTTCTCAGATATGTTATCATCATCACTATCTCTTTATCTTTAACTTTTCTTAGTTGCTACTTGCTATGTATTAAACATTCTATCATATTTATACATTTAGAGTTCATTTTCGTATTTTTTTTTATTATCATCCTATAATACTTTCAGTTTCTGTTGACGATTCATTTTGAAGATTGCAACCAGAGTTTGTTAGTGTCTCATCCTCCATAAGGTTTCTGTCACCTAGCCTGACAAAAACGTCTGTTTGGTCGCAAACAAAAAATGTGACAAATAGCCAATCAAAAAATTCAATTAGACTGACGGAAGATGAATCTCTAACAATTTTGATAATCTATTGTTTCATCAAGCAACAATGTCAACTTTTTCTGACAGCTTCTCAACTGTTATAATTAGCTTTATCTCGTTTATGTTATTTGAAAGTATGTGTTCAAAAACATTTGAAGACTTTTTTTCATTATAAACTATGCAAAAAGCTATTATGGCCATCAGCATTATGGTTGCACTCAAAGGGCCGGTTATAACTTTAAGACTATATAAATATATATATATAATACATATAAAATAATGTATTATATACATTATTGACTCTGCCTTGGATTTTGATCAGTTCTGGTAATAACTCCATAAATAAAACATCTGAAAGCAGAAGTCTAGGGCACATAATTGAAAGCAAATATTCAACAATTACGGCTATTGTATATTATATTCTTTGCAAGATAAAATGAGGTCACGGGCCGGATTTGGCCCGCGGGCCTTGAGTTTGACACACCTGCCCTAAAGAGGTGATTTTGTGATGTCATAAAACTCATCCCTTTATGTATGGATAAGATAAGTTTTCAGATTCCACTGTTGTCTTCATTTAGTCTCTTCTTTTTTTTCAGCGAGAAGTGTTTGCATCTCCCAGAATGCAAGAGGATATGTAAAACATTTCCTATAATTGCAAATCAATCTTCAACTACAACTGCAACCACAACAGCATCTACAACTTCACTTTCAAATGACGTTCCAAATCCTGGTGTGAACCGAGTTCCACCGAATCCCTGTTAGTGCTAAATATCTGTGGTACTTTAACATGTGAAATGACAACATAACTGGTCTATTGTTTGTAGTTGTATACTCATATGCCCTAACATACTTTATTAGCTTTGGATATTTTAGTAAGTAAAACAGAGCCTGATTGATTCCTCTTTGTTTAAGTGGTCCTGTTGATTAGAAAGAACTACAGAATGTCCGAAATAACAGTGTTTCTCTGTGTCTTCACCAGTGAAGGAATTTCAGTGGCTTTTGCTCACTGGGGTTTTGGTGCCGTTTCTGGGCTTACTGTGGTTCGTGCTTTTCATTAAGAATCCATTCAAATGTCTCTGCTGGAGAGTGAAAAATGACCTGGTGCCCCCTGTCGAAGATGCCATATTGAACGGTAACTACTGGTGGATTATTTATTAGCGTGTTTAATTTTGTACAGTAAAAAAGTCCAGCAACTTCTACCTCTACTTCACTATGCTTCAGAGGCATACTTCACTGTTTTATTCTATTATATTTTTTAATTGGTCATTAATCAAAATATTGTAATGTTTTTCAGAATAACTTTTCCCAAAACTGAATATTTAAGTGTTTTATATTAAACTAATGAAATATTTTTTAAATAATTGACACATGAAATGCTTCTTACAATTCAATTCACCTGTAATGAACATCCAATATAATAATTTAACACATCCATGTGCCTTTCTGAGTATAAAATAGTATATGTTTCTGTTTATACCACTGTCCTTTTAATTACTTTTACTTTTACATTTTGAATGGAGGGCTTTTACTTGTGGTATTGTGAACAGATATATACCGTTTTTTGGGGCGTTTGATAATTATCTACTGAGAAGATTTACACACAGTGAACAAAAAGTTAAAATGTATTAAAACATGTGTAATTTGTAGATGTGCAGCAGATGTCACACAAATAAAGATACCTCATTTAGAAATTCTTACTTAATAGAATGATGTGTATATAATGCAACTTCAGAAGACATGTATTGCCACAAAAAGTATATCCAGTGTTAAACAGAAAGTGTTTTTCACAAAAATATAACCGAGTTTCAAATGTGCTTTCTTCACTGACAAGCAGGAAGCTTACTGATAATATCTGCTTTCCTCTTAACAGAACAAGGGAGTCATCAAGATAGCAGCCCGCACACACTGGTTTGTGCTCGTTTCATACATTTTGTGTTCATATTGAGATCTAGAATGGTACTGTTGGTGGACATGTTGACCACAATTTATTGTCAAATGTAACTTAAGCTATCAGCTGTGAACATTTTTAGAATCACATTCACATTAAAAAGAGGAGGTTTGACTGAATTGAATTGGAGTAATTTGAATTTATTTGTTCTTCTTTGTACTTTGAAGACATTACACATATCTGAGGAAACTCCCATGATGACTCTCAGTCAGAGTGCAGCCACACCAGAACATCCAGCCCACATCAGGCCTCTCCTACCAGACGGTGAACACAAAGGTAAGATTCAGCATCACAGCCTGTGAAGAATGTTGTGATCTTGTGGTGTCAATTTACTGTGTTGTTTGAGATCATTGTTTGTCTACTGGTTCAGGGGGTGTTTCTGAAACCCCCCTCATGCTAAAACTAAATGTTTTTTAACGCATGGCAATACATCTTCCGAAAATAAGCATTTCTCTACTCTCAGGCATTTCCCAACAGGCCCTTAAGCTACCCCTCAAAATAAATTACAATTACAGGCCTAGGTGAGACCTCTTCTGTTAAGTAACATCTTTGAAACTACCTTCTCGGCCCCAATCAATTATTCAATAATTAATAATCTGGATTTTGACGGTACACCGTAGCACAGACATGTTAAAGACTGCTCTTGCTAAGCTCTTAAATTACATCCACTTAGAAATAGCACAGTTGAAAAGCCGACAGACGTTTGTCAATCCGAAACATCACATCTGAGCATATTAAAATCACGAGGAGTTCCCCAAGGCTCTGCCTCTTACCATTATTGTGAAGAGGACACAAAGATGTATTCAAAGATTTTTTTTAAGCATTAAACAAATCAGTACTTGTATGTGCCAAAATGTTTGTTAAACATAAATATAATAAATAATTGTCTTTGGATCCAAAGTAGAACAATACAAGTCTGTTATCGCCTTTAGTCGCCACCGTAAAAGACCACAAACCATGACCAAAATCGTAGGGTAATCATTTTCTCAGGCCTACATTTTAACATCTACATTAAGACAAACCAGCCTTCTATGCCCAAAAGAGTATATCAAGAATTAGAGGTCTAACGTTTTAGTAGGACTTAGAAAAAAGGGCCTTTACCATTACCTTGTGTTTTAAATGTCCTATTCAAATAAACTTCATCTGCTTTGCCTTGCTTTACCTTTGAGTATAAAATACACTTGAATTAAAATACTGCATGTTTTTACAGACTTGAGGGGCTGCAGCTATTTTTTTACAATCAACATTTAGTTTAGTAAAGTAATAAATTAAAAGTACTGTAAGATGTTGGCAGTGCATTGATCTGCTCTACTTGAGTCTCCCTTCACCCTTTATACAAGAAGGTCAGAGGTCATCTCATGATCTTACAACTGCTGCTACTGCTACTAACAATATTGTTTATAGAGTCACAGGAAGCAAACACAGTTATGAGTTGTTATGATCCGTTTCAGTACTGTGATGAGAAATAGAATACACATATTATCGAAGCGGCATTTTTCTTCATGAGAGTATGAAACTACTTTCTCAACATTTGTAAAGAAACATTTGTAAAATTCGCCTGAAAAAGAGTCAAATCAAGTGTTTATAAAATTGCTTTTTTGAGTTGGAACTACGCTAGAAGATAAGAGAAATTGTGTGTGATAGATTAATTTGATCTTTGATCTAAGATAATCTTTTACGCAAAGCTACATGTATGTCATTACTGAAAGTCAAAATGTTGTCTCTAAACAATGTCAAGCTAATATAAGCAACTATTTTGCTAATGAGCTAAGTGTTTCAGTAGTTTAATGTTCCAATGATTCCAATATTCACTAATTCCAACTTCTCAAATAAAAATATGTCTTGCTTTCCTCTGTTATATAACATTGTAAACAAAATTATTGCTATTCAAACCTTTGGTTCAAACAAAACAACAAAATGTGAAGACCTCTGTCTCATTTGGCTCTTTGAAATTGTTTTTTTTCATACTGGTGCAATGTATTGTAAAAACAACAACTCTTGTCACCAAGTGGTACATTCTCACAATTTGTAAACTTTCTCTGCATCCATATCGATCTCTTGCTAGGTGTACATGTTTTGTAAGAGTATTTGCAAAGACAACTATTTAACATGGGTTCAAGTGTCACCTCACACCTACTTTGCAGAAAGAGGAAAACATTAAGGAGGTTTCGTTTCTTTTACGCACAACTTGTCATTTTGACACTTTCCCTAAATCTGATAACCGATGTTTTGTGCTATCTTCAACTGCAGTGTTCTCAGTCTCAAAGCAGCAGTCCTTTCATCTCTGCATGTTTAGCACACCATTTATCATTGATCAAACTTGTGGCCCGCATTGTGGAGGCGGTAACTGGGAAACCGGACACCGGACACCCTCACTTCTTCTCATGGGTCAACAGTTCGACCTTAGGGGACATGGCAAATCAGATAGTGAGTGCATGTCTCTAACTATGAATGATTTGCATCCGTGTACATCATCTTTTAAACCCTTTGAAATGGTCAACAGCCGCACGTGTATAAGTCGTAGTGAGGGTAAAATGTTAATTAAAGCACATATATATTTTCCAATGCTTCTTTTATGGCAGTGTAAATGTTAAACACACAGACACTTTGTTATCTGTGGGAGGTGAAAATAAATGGCACCCTCCCTTTGAATTGCTCACTCTTTAAAACACTTTAAAGCAGTTGATCAATGCTTCACTCTAATAATGCAGAAATAAAACCTTTTCATATTGAATGTTGTGAGTGCAAGGACGATCTCTTGTTTCTGCCTCCGCACCGTTTTTTTATATCTTGATGACCTTCAGCTTAGCTTGAGTCTTGGTTTGCAGTTTGCAGCACACTCTTGCAAGTGACCTTTTCCACAGCAGAGTTTTGATCTGCTCTGATTATCTCTGATCCTCTTTCCAGTTATCAAACAAATCGAGCAAACTGAGCACTGGCCGGCCATCGTCCTCTATGCCATCATCAAGGAGGTGCCCCTGCGTAGGTGGAAAGAGTTCTTGCGTCTGCTCTCGGTGGTGGATCAGCAGATTGAGCGGGTGGAGCTGGAGGCTGGTTTGGGTATGGGCTCCATGGAGAAGCAGTACCAGATGCTGAGGCTGTGGAGTCAGCGCTCCTCTGGCTGCCTGAATGATGTCTTCTCGGCCCTGCACTACATGGATTTATCTGGCTGTGCCCAGCTACTGCAGGAAAACCTGGACAAGCTGCAGTGGAAACCTTAACTGGAGCCATGTTTCCCAGTCTGCAGAAGTTACAAAGACCATGGTTTTAATGGGGCACTGCAGGACACGTGAGGCTTCAGCACCTGGGAACACAAGAACCATAAGAGACAACTGTGCTTCCTAAAAAGGACACCAACTGGAGCAATAGTTCATCCCCAGGAAACTGAAGTGACGTCAAAAGTGACTCATAATGAGTAATGCAGATGTTTTGTTTTCTACGTGTTTAATGGTTGAACATCATCAAATGCCCTCCAGATAAGTGTAAAATGTGTGCCTTTTTGAGTCTTTATTTGGTTGACAGCTGATATTGTACATATCAGTTCCAGGTTGGTTGCAGTGCAAAGTAATCTGCAGAAATGGCTTCCTCAAATACATGTCACAACAACTAAACTATTTTAAAAAGCCGCGTCATGGCCTGTAACAACTTAGGGCAGAACTCTAGTAATATAGGTGGAGATTTAAGGAAAACATCATGAATAAAGGGGAATCCCCTTCTTTTATCTATACAGCTTAATCTCCAGCTTCTCGTGACCCTGCTCTTAAAGGCCAACTGTTTGGTTAGGCTCTTGTTCAGTTTGAGTATTTAAACTGTGTGAACAATCTTTGATGTTGAAGCAGCACACCAGACATCCCTTTTATCTCATTTGAGAATGAAAGTGTATTGGTACAACGCTGCTCACGTCAGTGTTTCAGTTTCCTGCAAATAAAACGTGTCAGGGCGCTGTAGACTGGGTTTTTCCTCACCACACATATTCCATCTAAACGATGGTTTCCTGTTGTGTGATTGAAGGTATCTCACTTTGAGAGTTTGTGTCATTCCAGTTACTGCAGGCAGTAATGCACTTTCCAGTAAATCTATGTAATAATGTTTTTATATGAATCTATGTCTGTCGTTTTTGGCTTTTATCTTTGAAATATGCATTGTTTACACATTTTTAAATGATTATGTTTTAATTTGGTACAATAAATACAACGCTTAATGAGTGGATTATTATACTGAGACTGTCAGGGTTAGTAATTGGGTCCTCACTGGAGTCATCTGGTACAAATGTGTGGTACCGTGGTATAGTAAGAGCCAGAACGTTATCAAAGAAGAATGTGATGAATAAAAGTCGTGGCCACCAGGTAGCAGTATTGGTATTGTGGTGTTTGAACAGTGGCAGCTGGTGTGCAGTTTTGAGAAAAGGACCCAATACAAAGAAAACGTAGCAGGGTGTTGGAGGAGCTTTTATTCTTGAGGTGGATTAGACCAATCTCATGAATTGCAAATTCCGCTTCAGCAGCAGGAACAGCTGTCCACATTGTTCTTGGTAGATAAAGCAGAGATCCCATACAGAGACAGATTTTAATATTGGCATTATGCTTTTACATTCAAATAACGCATTTAAAATTCTGACAGAAGGGTAAGATTAACATTTAGTTCATACACATTAATATGTTGCAAGTAGGCTAGTTTTAACCAGTGATACGATTTTTAAATACTTTTTTAAAATACTGATGGGTTTATATATTTCATAGGAGATATACATGTAAATTATATTTATGGCTTGTCAATTCTTAATATTGGCCATTTTACACTATACATGAAACAAATAGCTTCAACAGTTTTTACAATGTTTTTCAATCACATTCATATGGACGGGCTATTTATGTAGGCTAGATAATAAGACAACTTTACCTTAGAGCTTTTTCTTTGTAAAAATGCCTGGGATTTGACTTTTTTTCATGCTTTCAGCTTTCAGCACTCCTATAAGCATTCACTGTCTTTTTCTGTCTACGTTTTCTGTTTACGAAAAGGAGCAGATTTGATCGCTGCCTTTAAGCAGTGAATCTACGAGCTGCGTCTCTTCCAATGAGCACAGGCGTTAGGAGTTTCCATGGGCAACCGGACGCGTGGAGGAACGTCCCATCAACAGAGGACAGAGACATGAGGAGTTTACCGCGATAAGAAGCACATTTCAGTTGCTTGGTTTGTATATTATTGCTTTTTCTGTGTCTTTCCACCTGCTAAAGAATTTGTTCTTAACCCCAAAAAACTTCGCTGCACTTTTGTTGTTTGAGCGGACACCGTGTTGCCGTGGTAACTCTGAGTCAAGAGCTATTGAGTTACAAAAAATAGGGCCCGGACCTTCAACCACAGAAAATGAACTGACAACGACCGTATTGGTAAGTCGTTTAACAATTAAGTTTAAGTTTTGTTGGTATAGGCTACTGTTTACAACAAAATGCAAAGCAGCAAGCAGGTGGGCCAGAGAAAGACAAAAGCATCCCGCCCCTCACAAGGGGGCTAGGTTTTCATTATGCAAATCATCTGTTGAAACCATAGACTGTATATATAAAGGTTGAAACTAGGAATCATTTGATTAATTCTGACCTTTTTCTAACTTGTTTGTCAATCTAATAGTAGTGCACTCGTTTTTGTTGTCTTTAGGGTAGTGTAATGTCCTTGAATTTGCCACAATCATATTTTGTACTGTAGGCTACATCGCTTACGTTATTGTAATAGGGTAATATATATATATATATATATATATATATATATATGTATAATATAGGCCTATATATATAAATATAATATAGTTTCAACACAATTCCAGTATGAATAATGTTCACCTATTTTTAAATTGGTTAAGACTTTCTAACATACTTGACACTAAGTAATTAAGTGAGTCTTAAGACCATAATATTGTTGCTTAAGAGGACGTTTCATCAGTATCATACTGCAGCGTGAACCAGATAATTATAAGAATGAATGATGGCTGAGTTTCCTTTGAATGCTTTAGTTTCAGGGTCCTGGTATTGTTCACACTGTCATAATTCTTGAATATGACACATCTATTATTAATGATAACTCTGCTATTAAACATACTAACTTGAAAGGGAAAAATAACTTGAATATTTATTTTTCAGCTGACATCAATGTTGTCATCACTGTGATCAGCTGCAAAAACGGATTGAGGGGCTCTGCTGCCTGACCATGACAGCTGTGGTCCGACCTGGAGTCAGTGTCTCAAAGCTCTGTGGGGATGGAGACAGGCTCCTGGGGGCTGGAGATCTGTGGAGGGCCACCTCCTTCTACATGTCCGCCTTCAGGACCCACGCCGCCTCCACCGTGTCCCACATGCGGAAACTAGAGTCCGGCCTGGATGGGGTGATCTCTACTCTGGAAAGTTGGCTCGACAGTCATGGGGAGAACCCCCCTGCTGAGGCTCTTAATAAAGGTCTTGCAGCTGTGTTTCTATCCACACTCTGCCCCAACAATCTGTCTGCAACCATTTTCAAGATGGAGTCTCTCCTTCAGAGTGGAGGGCATGGCTGTGAGGAGATTTTTGCTCGCTGCAGTGCTCTGCTTGAAGGGATGCGAGACCCTTACCCAAAAGATGCCTCTCGCATGGTGTTGATGTTAACTGGTGCCCTGGCCTGCTTGTTCTCGGAACCTCACAGTGTTAAGGGATTGATGCTTTATCTCAAAGCTTACAAGAGTAACACATCTGAAACTGTCACAATGGTCAAAAGCAGACAAGCTCAGCATGTACCCAAAATAGTGAAGGCCTTTGTAGACCAAGTACTGCACATACATCCCTCTTTAACATTTGACAGTGAATGTGCAATTACAACAAAGGACAAGGAGAAGCTAGATGTGGAGACTTCTACAATTTTAGAGTTGTTATTGGCTATCTCACCTGATAACAGAGAAGTGCAGGAGCTTCAAGCAGCATATTTGTGTTTGAGTGGCAGGTTTGTTGAAAGTGCAGAGGTCTACTCAGCTCTCTTGCATCATGATGGTCAGAACTTGTCAGAAAGGTCATTCCAGGTCACTCCTGAGAGAAGAGCTGGGCTCCTAACCAGTCGAGCAGCTGCCTGCTTGTCAGCTGGTGGACGGACTGCAGAGGCTTGCAGGGATCTGGGGGAGGCGTTTGAGACCCACCCTGCCAATGCCCGGATTTATTTTCAAAAGCTATTCACAGATAATGGCACAGGGTTGGCTGCTCGTAACCATCTCCGTCAGCAGGCAGAGGGAGGCCTGTCTGGGTACAGAGAGAGGGTCCTCCTCCGCCCAGACCTGCGGTCCACTGAAGGAGTTGAACTACTGGACCCTGTCATCACTCGGTTACGGACCCTGTGCCACTTAGAGGCTGACGGGGGAGGGAGGGAGCTGCGGGTACGGCTGGCCGACTGTCTTCTCCTCAGAGGAGAACACAAAGAGGCCCTCTCCATCTGCAGCCAGCTAGCGGCGGCCAAAGGTCAGCAGAGCTATCAAAACACAGTGCAGGTTCTCCGTGGATATACACGACTTCTCTCAGACGACCACAAGGGGGCGTTAGAAGACTTCCAGGCTGTGATTGAACACGATGCCCCCCACCCTTCCAGCTGTGTGCGGGCCCTCTGTGGCAGGGGGCTCCTGCGCATGATGGGGGGATCAAACTACCTCACAGCTCTAGACTATGTGACAGCCAGCGGGCTGCACCCTCAGGAAACAGCGCTGACTGTCCGCTGCTTGGTGCCATGGAACTACCGGGGGCTGCTGTTCACTGTTTTACTGGAGCAGGGACGGGTCATGCTGGAGGGGGCAGCAGAGCACAAAGCCAGGACCAGTGAAGACTCCCAGCAGCCCCAGCAGGGGGATAAGCCACAATCAAAGAAAAACAACCACAGATCAGGGTATAATGTTTGTCATACAGTGTACTGAATACGCCTTTTTTGGGGAAAATGTTGATTAGTCTCATTCATTTTATGATTCATTTTCTAATTGAAATCCTCATTTGAGTTTTCTCACCAACATGCATGTTCTCAGTGTTGCACTTTTGCCTGCTCTGTGCTTCAGGACTCCTGCTGGTGTCCAATCCCTGGCTGCGCTGCTGGTGGAGCTGCAGCCCGGTGCTGATGGGTCTCAGATTCTGGCAGCAGATGCCTTGTACCAGCTTGGCCGGGTGGAGGAGGCCTACCGGCTACTACTCTCCATCGGGCCCACCAACCCTCGGGCACCTATCCTGGCTCGCCTCGCCCTGCTGCAGCTGCACAGAGGCTTTCTTTATGACACCAATCAGGTATGTGGGTCAACAAGTGAGGTCCAGAGGCATTCATTTGGGCTCCTTATTTTACAAATGTTTCATTGAAAGAGATACAGATTCCTTTACTGTCCTTTTTCTCTGCAGCTGCTGAAAAAGCTCATTCAGTGTGGCGATACCAGCTGCTTGCGCCCCTTGTTGGCTGTGGCACAACAGAAGGACCGGGCTCTGCTGCAGGCGCACTGCCACTCTGTTGCCAAACGCATCCTGGAGGGCACTAAAGAGGAGAGCGCCATGAGGGAGGCTGTGGCATATCTCTCCATCGCTATCATGGCCTCTGGTGATTAGAATGTGATTGATGAGATATTGATGTAGTTGCTACTGTTCTGTTTCTGATTGTTGACATAATTAAAAGTTGGTTAAACTTTCATTTAGAGATAAAGAGAAAGCCTGGCTCAAAACTGAACGTTTTTTATGTTTTTGGCTGCAGTTAATGAAGAGTGTTTTTGATCAGTGTTTCTTCATTTATTGTTAGTGCGTCTTTAAATATGGATCAGTCGATAACATGTAAAATGATTAGTGTGAATATGGTAAGACCAACCATATCATTGTATGTTTCCAGGTGGTGAGGCAGCAGAATCTTTACTGGAGAGAGCGAGGTGTTACGCACTGCTGGGCCAGCGAAAGACGGCCATCTTTGATTTCAGTGCTATTCTGAAAGAGCACCCTAAACATCCTCAGGCCCTCTGTGGGAGAGGCTTCACCTATCTCATGCTGAACCAACAAAAGGTATTCTTAAGTCAAAACGTTCTTTAATACAGTACTTAAAATAATAAAACATTTCCCCTGGCCTCTAGATTTTGAGCTTACACATAATTAGCTGCATGGCAGTGAAAGGTAAACTAGAATTTCAGGAAGCTCATAATAGTATCTTCTATAATACTGCCATAACATGCCCATAGGAAAAAATTGCCACAATATACTTACCGCATACAATACTCAATATAACAGAACTAATAAAAGGATAATTTGGACACAAAAGAATGGCAGTATTTCAGGGGATGAAATGGCGTTTTATATTTTTACAAACATTTTTACATTTTGGCTGATAAGTCATTCATAAACTGTAACATTAATACTGCCTCTCCCTCTCAGGAATGCACTCATGATATCCTGGCAGCACTTCAGATAAACCCTGACATGGGTATCAAAGACATCCTGTCTCTTAATGACAAGGCACGGAAGCTCGTCTGTGATTGGCTGCATCAATTCTGTCGGAGCAATCTGTCAGATCTCCTGCTCACTAACACTGTCCCCTGCCATGAAGAGCAGCTCAAAGAGGCTTTTATAATTGTCGGAGCTCTGATGAGGACGGACTGCAGAGAGCCCAGATGGCATCTCCTCTATGTGGACATACTCCTAGCCAAAGGTGAGCCGGGAACTTTGTCAAACTCTGCCTCTAACACTCCCAGGGGGATCTTTGATGTCACTGAATGTAGTTTGGTTAGGAGATTGTTCAGGCTGTGTGGACCATTGAACCTTGGGCTCCTTGTTGACTCTAATCCTTCCACCTGCTGTTCTGGTCCATCTGCTCAGGTGAAGTGAAGGCAGCAGCCGCTCATCTGTGCCAGGTGTTTGGACAGGAGCCAAGAGATGCAGTGGCCCAGGCCCGGGTGGGCGTGGTGGAGGCCTGGCAGCAGAACTACCACAGCGCAGCTTGCCGGCTCAGCAAACTGACTGAGAAACACGCATCCAGTCTTCCCCCCCTGCTGGCCCTGATCCCATTCAGTCAGCGGAAACGCATGGCACAGGTAAGCCTACTGTACGTGCAGGAATCCTGAATTCAGCTTGGTGCATGCCAGAACTTTTGTGTGATGGCTATATGGAAGCCATCACACAAGAGTTGCTAGAGAAAAAACATATATTTATAAAATAGAAAAAAGATCTATGATATGTTCAAATATAAATCGCTTGTTGTTTTGTGTTCAAGAGTCTTAGATGTAGCAACTGAACTGTCTTCATGGTTTTGTTTTTCTGTCTCTCTTTAATTCTGTGAAGCTCCTCGAATCTTTTCTCAAGATAATTTCTCATTTCCAAATGTAATCTCATCTGTCGGATTTTTTTCACACGCTATCATTCTTATTTACTTCCCTTATTATGGTTGGACACAGGGCTGGCTAAAATATATTTTAAAATGCTAAAACTACACAAAACCGTGCAAAACTGCCATGTCACTTCCATCAATGTAGGTTTCTCTCTCTGAAGGTATCACAATAAATATTCCAAAGTAGTTTACAATGATGGAGAACATCAATACAATGCTTATAAGACAGGGCAACAGCATATTTCCTGAATCTCGATAAGGTATCGTAAATTAGCAGTATTTATATATAAATAAAGTGTATAAAGGTATTGTTCTGTATGTATATTGTAACAGGCAGCAGCTCAGGAGGCGAGCAGTGTGTCTTCAGGTGGCCGTTGGGACCGGGCCCTCTCTCTCCTCTCTGTGGCCGTACAGGCAGCAGGAGATCACAGACTCCAGTATCTCCGGCAGCGGGCCGCCTGCCTCGCTCAGCTGGGCCTACACGAGCGGGCCGTATCCGACCTGGACCGAGTTATCAAGAAACACAGTGGGTCCCAGACCAGATGCTCAGATGACCCCCGGGTCAGGGCAGAGGATCTTTGTCGGCGGGGCCGCAGCATGGTGCTCTGCTCCAGAGAGGCAGCAGCTCTGGAGGACTTCTGTCAGGCCTTGGAGCTTCACAGGAAACAGGCTCTTCAGTGTGTGGAGGCTGGACTAGGGAGGCTGCGTCTGGCTGAGTGCTTCCTGCGGGGGGCGCTTCAACTCTACGGGGAGCAGCAGCTCAGTAAAGCCTGGACACTGATCGAAAGTGGGCTCCTTGTGGATGGTGAGAACGCAGAGCTCCGCAGACTGAGGGCAAGGGTCAAAAGAGAAGAGGCCAGCCTCTGCAATATCAACTAGTGTTTATAGTCCGAAACTCACATAATGTAGACATGTCAGTGCCTAAACCTTATGAAATCTTCATGTGTAAGTCGATTTAACACAGTTTGATAGCAGGCTTGATAAGTACATATTATGTCTTTATGTAATTTAACTTCATTTTGGAGCATTGACAAAATAGTGTGTTATAGTTTTCAGCATTGTCTTAATTGCAGCAAATGTTGAAATTGAGAGGAATATGTGAATGGTTGAGGATTATAACACCACACGTTTTATTGAATGTTTTATTATCCCGTATTTTATGAACAGATTTAACTATGTCTGAAATATCACTAATATGATTATTGTGGTTACATAAACAACAGATAATGATATAAAGGAAATCATGCAAAAATGAATTTAAAATATTGCTTAATGCAAACAATCACACCTAGATAAGATATTTAAGAAAGTGTCCAATGTGCAGGTTTTGTGCTTTTGAAATAAAGAAGGCACAATTATTTGTAATCATATCCATAACAGCAAATATAATTTAGTAAGCATAAATACAGGAAAACGTATACTAGTCTATATAAAGCAGGTTTAAACACAAGAACAAAGTCAGAAGTTCAGCACTCTTCTCAGTGCACCTTTTTGCTGGCTGTGTAACTTGCTACATGTTCTTTGGTATTATGCCATAACAGTAATGTATTGTGGCTCCATATTTCCGAAGACGGACTTCTCCCACTCGCTCATCAGGTCAAAGTGCAGCGGGCGGGCACAGAAGGTGCAGGAAGCTGTGGCCGGGCTGCTGACCAGGAGCCCCGCCTCCTGCCACACCTCACACAGTTTATCTGTCAATCAAACATAAACCCTCATTAGAATGAAAAATGAAATGCCAGAATGTATTTCTCTTTTAAATCTCTATCTTAAAAGGTAATCACTCTCGAATGGATGAACATGAATCACTTTTACTGGCTTTTGTGTCCTGTTGTCTTGATTGGGACATTTACTAGAACAACTCTGGATCCCACTCACCCACAAAGTACTCCATCATGGCGGGGTTGTGATGAGGAGAGGGAGCCAGGCGCAGCAGCTCCTCCCCACGAGGCACTGTGGGGTAGTTGATGGCCTGGACGTAGATGTTGTGTCTTTCCAGCAGGGTGTCGCACACCTTGGTGTTCAGCTCAGCATTGCCCACCTAGGAAATGGATCATGAAAAGTGATGTGAGCCATGTAGTTAAAGCCTTCATTATTATACACAGAATGTATGTGATCGACTTGCTGGGTTCAAGAGCGTGCCACGGGAAATCATATTAATAACTTTCTGTGTTAATAATATAATAATGCATTTCAGAAAACATTTATTAGAAATGTATGATTCAATTAGCAATACATGATGCATGGTCATGACTGATGATATCACAAAAAGATTTAAGTTTCCTTAATTTCAATGCAAATGTAATTATCTTAATGGCTTATAATCGCTTTTTAAGATCATTGGTTTGAATATAACTGATGAATGAAAAAGGCTAATTATTCCAGTGGCACACTTTCTGTGGAGTAGATTTCAGGATTTTTTCACTGCAGACATTTTGAGATTTTACAGTATTACAAATGTAACATTAATAGTGTGTGACAGTGAGCCATAGCAGAATACCCGGAACCTGAAACTAAAGCAGCTACATGTATTCAGCTCTCATTCAATTCAATATTTATCATATGCAGCCTTTCCAACTGGGACATTTCACAAACAAAAAACATCTAAGGGATGTGCATAAAAGCATGTTATATCATAACATTAGGTAATTATACTACCTACAATCTGAAGGGTATATACAGAAGAAATATGTTATTAGTGCTATATTTGTATCCTTTTGCTGTTATCCAGTTCCTATATCTGTGATGATTTTAAGATAAATTGCATTCCCCAAAAGATGCTCTAAATACAAATTCTAACAACTCGAATAGTCAGGATAGGAGTAGGTGGAGTGAGGTGGAGGTGGAGGTGGAGGTTGCAGCGGTGAACCTTCATACCCGGATGGGAATGATGTGGCTGGGACAGTTGACCACAGGAAGGCCCTTGTCCATGAGCAGTTGCCTCATGTGTTTGACGTTCCTCTGGTGGGACCGGCGCAGCACCTGGCCCTCTGGACTCCTCAGAACCCGGACAGACTCCAGGGCTCCAGCCAGGACCATGGGGGGCAGGGCGGTGGTGAAGATGAAGCCGTTTGCAAAGGAGCGCACAATGTCCACCAGGGCGGCGCTGCTGGCCACGTAGCCTCCAACGCAGCCGAAGGCCTTGCCTGGGACAAAGGACAGAGGTAGTGTGGAGTGAGGAGGCAGGACTTTAGAAGGAATCAGGGTCCTTATATTAAATCTAACAAACTTGACTTGAGTATTTCCACTATATTACTTTATCTACACAATTACATTTCACAGGGAAACATTTTACTCAATGCTTTTTTTTTTTTACAGTTAAACCTTGTCATTTTTCAAACATGTGGAATATGCTTTGTTATAGATAAAACTATACCTAACAGTATATAAAGTATTTCAAATATAATTTTCCTTATAATAACAGTAGTATTAATATAGATATATAACCTGAACAATAACATAACAATTGCAAAATGGCTATCTTGCATAATGTGTACTTGATTGTGCATTTTATTTATTTCTACTTTTCCTAAAATAATAATGCTCGGCACAATGACACTTAACTCACTGTTACATTTTGAAGTCCCAAATCATATACTTTTACACATTTAATTGATCATAATTGATTTGTTATTTTTTCAATGAAGACACGTTTTCTGTGTTGATTCATAACAGTAATATGTTATTTGAGTTTGAGCTTGTTTTTTAAATGTATTACCAGGTAAACACTTGCCTGGTCTAGTTGACTATAACCATTCTATTGTGAAGTGTAATCCAGGATAAGTTCACACAAGATAGGGATGTCTATCTAGAAACCTGCAGTCATCATAAAGCTACACACAGCAGCACCTCATGATGGTTTTATCAGAAAGACCAGAGAGGAAGTAAAGCCGGCTCCCAGCTGATAAAACCTTTGCTTTCTCTAATGAGAGCGCACTCCTCTCTTGTCCTCATTTAACCAACATGAGAGAAATATCATGCCTGTTGATGATTATTGCTGCCATGTTGGCAACATGACTGTCAGTTCGAGCAAGCAGCTGTAAATGGGAGTTTGGCCAAGAAAATAAGCAGTTCATCTAAGACAGTTTAAAACCGTTTGCCTTGCACTTTTGGTGTAATAGTATACAGTTTTTCAGAAATGGAGATTAAACAAAACAGTTGGCTTACTATTAAATTGACAAGAAGGTTATTTCTGTAAATGTTACTCACCTAAGGTTCCAGAAACAATGTCAAGCTTGTGCATAACATTGTCCCTCTCTCCCACTCCAGCTCCATGGGCTCCGTACAGGCCCACTGCGTGAACTTCATCAACAAACGTCAGCGCTCCGTAGCGATGAGCAACATCACACAGCTCCTCCAGAGGACATATACCACCTGAAAGCCAAGGGAAAAAAGTGTCATAGTGTATCCAACTGTGTGAAATAGCCAATCAGTAAGAAATTCACTTGCCAAATGTCATCACTGTGTCAGAGTTAGGAGAGTAAGGTTTTAATATTAAAATGAATACCTCTCCTACATGTACAAATCATAGAGTGTTTATATTAACACAACCTTTCTGTTTCGGTGTTTTAAAAAATACTCCTCGATATGGTTCCAGTCATCCATTTAGTCTACTTCAGTTTGTGTTTATGGAGCTGTCAGCAGGGTAATGGCACACCAAGACAGAGCTGAGAGGAGAAAACTACTTCCTCCCATGGGAGATAGTGATTAATGGCAAATAATACTGACTGAATTGATTAGCTATGAATCATAAATGACTGCTGGACTTTACTTATAATCCACATTATTATATCCAATTTTTTACTCATGAAGGGTTTTTAAAACCTGGACATGCCCATTGTGAATTTGATATCTTGGAACATTGTTTTATTAAAAATATTAAAATAGATTGGCTTTAGTGTGAGCAGTTTATTTCCATAACCGCACAGCCACAAATGTAAAGTAAACAATGATGATCTTACTTTTTTACCATTTATTTATGAACATCTTTTACATAAAAACAGTGAGCAGAAAGGCAAAGCATTGTGTAGCAGGTAAACAATGATTACTAAAGATCTGTACAAATAATTTAAAAAACGATCAAACCCATCCTATAACTCTGTTCAGTATATTTAACATCTTTTAAATCTTGATTCAAATCATTTGATATCAAGTATTTCTGCAAATAAAGGCAACATATAAGTATGTTTACCCTCAACAATAGACATGAAATCTATATAATCTGATCTATCAGTGAAAGTTAAATTGTTGTAGTACTCACCGTCCATCGAGTGCACGGTTTCGAATGCCACTATTTTCGGTGTCTTGGGGTCGGAGCGCTGCAGCAGCTCCTCCAGGTGTCGGCTGTCGTTGTGGCGGAAGATGAAGCGCTTGACTCCGCTGTTCCTGATGCCCTGAATCATCGACGCGTGGTTCCCTGCATCAGAGTAGATCTCGCACCCTGTACGCCACAATGAACACAACATCCATGAGACCAGTGGAGCTGACTTCCCTTGAATAATACTGAGATTTAATCAACTTCTCTACAATGTCAGGGTCAGAGGTCAGTATTTACCTGGCAGCATCTTAGCCAAAGTGAAGAGGGTGGAGTCATTTGCCACAAAGCAGGAGGAGAAGATCAGCGCTGCGTCTTTCTGGTGAAGCTCAGCCAGCTCATTCTCCAGAGACACATGGAAGTTACTGGTGCCGGAGATGTTCCTGGTCCCGCCTGCGCCTGCCCCGTGTCTGTCCACAGCATCTCTGAGAACAGCCAGAACAGAATCATAAAACACTCAGCTCCCATAATCTGTTATATTAAAGGTGTCCTGTTGTTTTCTTTCATATTATCTGAAGGCCATCTTCAGAAGCTGCAAAACCCACTAAGTAGCAAATAAATACAAGTGACATACATTTGGTAGGAAAGTGAAAAATAGATGACTTTGGACATGATAATAGCTGGATTCTGCTTTAGTTTTGCTTTTTTGCAAGAGCTGAATCAATAAGACTTAGCTACAGAAATCAAAAATTGTGACTGGACTTGAATGCCACAAGACTTCAATTGACTTGCCAGTAAAAAACATTCACATCTCAAATTTTGACCTGAAGTAATCTTGTTAGAAAAGGAAGTCAGTGACATGCAGGTCCTTGAACATATAACTTTTCTGAAAATGAATTGTAAGGTGTATAAGGACTTAATCTTGGGTATCTCTCATGTAATAAATAAAGATATGTAGAGCTATGAGAGAAAAAGGCAGTCGGACAAATGAATTTGAATTTGAATTTAGCTTTAAAGCATTAACAAACATTGACTTTTTCCCCTTCTCCTTTTACCTGATGGCACCGAGGATCCGTGGGTGCCGGCTCATTCCCAGGTAGTCGTTGCTGCACCAGACGGACACCTGGGAGCCCCCCCGCCCAGAGAGGGAGTAATCCTCAGCGAAGGGGAACTCCTCGGCGCTCCTGTTCACCGTCTTGAAGACTCTGTATGTATGGTCCTTCTTTTTCTCAGAAATCTTCTCCATGAAGAAGCGGTCGTAGTCGTAGTTGGAGCCGACTGCAGGGGGACAGCTCAGACTTTAAATCAGTTACAGCACTCAATGAACGAATAATCTAATCAGACAAATAAAGACACTTGTATTACTAGATTGCATCATATTCACCTTGATTTTACCAACTGGGGTCTGTCCTGACCCCAGATGTTATTTCTTTGTCACATCTCACAGGTGAATTTTTAACCATTTTGTCAACCTTTTTTTTGCATTTTTCAACATCATTTTTATGTTTTACTTAGTACTGCAGTTTTTGTTTGTTTGTTTTTTGTTTTATACTAAAGAGTTGGGGTTCTTGGGGACCTTGAGAATGTGCATTACATTATGCACAATAAGCATGTTAGCTTTAACTATCCTAAAATAATAAAAGCATGATTTGTTTTCAACACATTTT